CAAGCAGTAGACCGGCAAGATCGGTTTGAACTATAAGGTTGGTGGTTAAAGCTTACCAGCCACTCCACAGATACCCTATTAAGGGTCACCATGAGTCGGAACCTACTTGATGACAATTAACAACAACAGTTATGAGCTAATTCAACTTTACTTATTTTGACTCAACACTAGTGAATATCTATATACTCATAGTGAAATAATGTTTTCATTAGACAACAAAAGGCTTTTATCTGTAATTAGGAAGCCTTACAGTGTATAAAGCAGAGTTCTAAAATAAAGACAAGATCTCAGAATCTGGGAACCATGTGGACCACATACTGTTAATTTCTTGGGAACAGTGCTACCATACACCTGACTGTTGGTGCTTGCATCAACTACAATAATTTTAGAACTATTCCTGCTACCAACAGGGTTTAGTGGGACTTGATAAGAGGCACATATTGTATTAAAACAAACATTAGTCAAAGTGGTCTTTTACTTTCCCCATGTCTACTTTTTCTAAAATCTCAATTTATCAAGTCTGAAAAAAATCATAGCAATACAAAATGAAAATATATCAGAATAGTAAACTGATGACATTAACATGAAGATTTGCTTATTAATATTACTAGGAAAAGAGATTTAAATAAAACAAAACCATTACAGAGGGCAAATTTAATTTTCTATAGTATATTTTAAAAAGATCAAAGTTCTTCATTTTTACCTCCAAGTACATAACTCTTTTTAGATGGGACAAGAGTAACAAATATTTATCCCCTTATATCATGAAAGGATTATAGAACTAAAAAGGCTTGGTTTTTTGGTTCTAAAATAAATGAGTTTTCTACCTGATAAGCCTTGTGACTGATGCCATAGACTAATGGATTTGCTCTCATCCGTACATAAAGATATGTGTAACTTATCCACTTCACTGCTTCTTCCACATTAGTAACTGTCCCCAGAGCAATCTGCAAATCAAGAACATCACAAAAATTGAAGTAATGCATTAAAGTTTAACATAAACATTACATCCAAGATTATTTTATCAGAAGTAAGGTTATAAAAAGGCTTCTGGTAGTGTAGTGGTTACAAATTGGGCTGGTAACCTCAAGGTTGTCAGTTCGAAACTACCCGCTATTCCACGAGAGAAAAGATCAGGCTTTCTGCACCTGTAAAGATTTACAGCCTCGGAAACCCTGTGCAGGGTCACTACGAGTCAGAACTGACTTCACAGTACTTAAAAACAAGGTTATAAAACTACCTCATTATCCTGTATTTAAGAGACAGTAAAAGCCTAATTATTGGACACATAATTAATATTAGCCTTGCCTCATTTAGTTGAGAACAGAACACTAAGCATACCATGATCTAAAACTAAACAACTCAGTATTATGTCAGTAAACTTACCATACCATTTCTATATGAATAGATTTGAATTCTATATAGCAATTAAGGTATTTTTGGTATTCTTTCTTCTTTCCTTCCCTCCCTCCTCCCTTTCTTTCCTTCTTTCTTTTTGGATTTCTTTTGTTTGGGTTTCATTTTATGTGGCCATACTACTGAAAATCTTAAAATTCAGTGTGCCAACTCAAAACACCATGTTTTTGTTACTTGTATTCCTTTTTATTGTGATTCTGTGTACTGTTACCAGAAAAGCCACAGAGGATAAAACATCAGCTTTAGCTCTAAAGATACTCATTTGCAGGATTTCTAGTTATATGTACATTATGAAATGCAATGGAAAATTCAATAATTTATGCATAAAAATGAAGCAGGTTTTATTAGGACTTCTGCATATTAACTACAATACACTTAAAACATATGACAAGAACAGGGACTGGTTTTATGTTTAACTGGTAAATATACAATAACCTAAGGATAAGTAGATAGTTATATATTTTAATCATAGTAAATACTAGATTTTCTTTATAGATTGTATTCTGAAGGGAAATAAAAATTTTAATGTAGCATTTTAATGTAACTTTGCAATATGATAATTTAATGAAATCAAACAATAATTTAAAAACACAACAACAATTACAAGATCTGTGTAATAACAGAAAGGAATTACTAGACAATTTTAAACGAATTTGAATGAAAGCTTTTCATATATACTTCCTTAGCTACAGAAACATGAGTCATTTTTCACTTAAAGTGCTCATTCGTCCAGATTTTGAACCATCACAGTTGTATCACTTTTCTCGACCATTAATTAATAAAATTGTACAAATAAGGGAGCTATGTAAAAATTCTTAAATATTTACAATTAGCACAAGCGTAAAATTTTTGGGAGTGCTTATGTAAAGGAAACTACTTTGATGATATGGGTCCAAAACTGATCAACTTCATCTGTGATTCTATTATTTGACAGCCAAAGTTGTGCTAAAATTCTATAAGCTATATTTTAAAATATCACACAACTCCTGAGGGTAGAGAATTTAATAAAGGACAACCTAAGGTTGATTTCCTTCAACATCAGATTCAGTAGATTAACATTAATAATTACTCATTGCTAAGGACTAGACAGGCAACCTCAAGGTCAGTGATTCAAATACAGCTGCACTCCTTAGAAACCCATACAGGTTTCCTATGAGTTACAACAACAACAACAACAATTAATGATAAGATTAAAGAAAAGTGGATGACAAAGAAAATAATTCAAGTCTTCAAAATGTTCACTAAAGAGGCTACCCAGAAAAGCAAGTATAAATTTATGATGTTTTATCATAGAGTACAATCCTTGAACGCCACCTAGTGACAGAAGTAAAAAATTATTTGTACATATTTGCTGTCACCTGCTATGGGTCGGAACCGACTTGACGGCACTTAACAACAACAACAATATAGGGTTGCTGGATTACTGGTGTGGCATTGTGGGTTAATGTGCTGAACTGCAAGGTCAATTTGAACTGTAAGGTCAGTGGTTCAAGTTCACTAGCCACTCCTCGAAAGCCTATACAGGGTCGCTATGAGTCCGAACTGAGTTAATGGCACTTAGCAACAACAATACTCAGGGTCACTATCAGTAAGAATCAACTCAGTGATAATGGATGGCGTGACTACCAAATAAAACCACCATTACCAATCCCCATGGTGTTAATTTCAACTTATAGCAACCCTAGAATTTCCTAGGCTGTAAATTGTTATGGAAGCAGATCACTTCAGCTTTCTCCTATGGAGCGGGCTGGTAAAAGTTCAGTCTAACCTTTTGGTTAGTAGCCAAGTGCTCAATCTACTGTGTTACATAAAACAAATACTTTCCACAGTGTCTTTGAAATTCATTCATTCATTTTAATATTCATGTACTAAACCAGTAACCAGAACGGATAACAATAAACACTGTGGACATGGAGACAAATAAGAACAGAGCATTGTCCCTGGCCTCAAGAAGTTCCCTATCCACTGGAATGACCCTATATAGTGCTTAAAAGACAAGTGTTAAAAAATGTTTTTAAAGAAAAAACATCTAACATGTGAAAATCACAAAAATAGTACTTGTATATAGTTTCACAGAGCTGTGTTCTTCATAAAGCAAAAGAGGGGAAAAATGATCAAATTTGGTCATTTAGATATGATTCAAACTATCACTTTCTATCTAACTTACCTATTTAAATTTTAGTCATTATGGTTTTATTTTTAATAGCTTATTTTATACTGTTTGAAACCATACAAAAACTAAATAAGCAAATGCAAACATAAATAAATACATATATATATCTTTTACTAGATAGGGAATAAATATTTTAGTTAATATATATTTGTTATTGTTCTTAGACGCCATCGAGTCAGTACCAACTCATAGCGACCCTATGCACAGCAGAACAAAACACTGCCTGATCCTGGGCAAACCTCACTACTGTTGCCACGCTTGAGTCCATCGATGCTGCCACCTGGCCAATCCATCTTGTTGGGGGTCTTCCTCTTTTTCTGT